AATTCACAAATTGAATTTCTTTTTACCTTGAGTTCACAGTTGGCATTTAGTTCCTTTTCACTATATTTGCATTCCAATAAACAGTCACTAATACATGTTTCCTTATCAGGAGCTGTTCTAGTGAGGCTGTTCTAAAAGCTGAGTTAATCAATGGAGTTAATTCTTTGCATTTATACACAACAGGAAGTTTCCCATTGTAAAAACAGTTTCTTTTTTATGGTCTGAGTGGCTTATCACTTCTTAAATGTCAGTTTAAACTCAGTGCCATTGGTCATGATAAGCACCATTTACACAAGCAATCCCACTGAAGTTGGGGTGGCTACTCATTTCACTATAGGAGTTAACATTCGCAGAAATGAAAAATGTAAGTTTCTCCATTTGTCAAAAAAAATACTGAAGAGGACTACAGATAATTAAATAAGTTCCTATTTTCTTTTAAATAAATACTGAACAAAGTTGAATTGTATTTTCATTTCTATTCTACTGCATAATCCCATCCCCTTTTGTACAGCACTACAATGAACAGTTTCTGAAGCAGGTCTCTATTTTAATAAAACTCACATTCCAGTAAACCACAAAACATACATTGAAGACAGTAGCCAGCCCCACTAGTACTTTGTCATTCTGTTGGCACACCTGAGTTTCATTTTACCTTTTTACCAATATAGACAGGGCACATGCCATTGCTAATGGGAATGACTGAGACACAGCCCCAAAAGCTATGTTTCTTGGGTTGCTTGGTCTAGACACAACCCACAGAAACCAGATGAAAATACCTATGCACAGTAGCCCCCAATGAGAATTTTGCTGGCTATTCCCAAGCTTGCAAAGATGACGATGTGTCAAACACAGCCTTGCAAACTGCAGCACAGTATAAGTCACAAGGTCCCAATGTCTGTGTTGTCTTGGGATTTTGGTCATGAAGCAAATGCTAAGGACTGTATTTTAGTTGTAGTTCTAACAGTGGTATCTTTGTGTACAATATGGTTCTCTTAAACTTCTGCTCCATGAAATCTACTCCCAAACATGTCTATGGCTTTTTTTTCTTTAGAAAACATTAAACCCCTGACTTAGCGTAAAAGAAAGTGACCCCATCAATTCAGGTCTCCCCTAAATTCACCTAGTTTTTTTCCTAATGAGTATAGGATGTCAGTACTTTGCATGGGCTAAGCTCTCTTGCTGCATCAAACCCTTTCACTTCAATAAAAGTGCAAGTGTGGGAAAAATTCCTCTTCTAAATTTAGAAAGATGGCATAATTCAGGGAACAAAGAAACAAAGAATTTATTCAGCGTGCTGGGTCCTTCTCCCACCAAGTTTTTCGGGGAGAAAAGACCCCGTGAGCGTACAACTTATACAGTTTATAGTTTTCAAAAATCCCACCCTTCTCATATAAGTTTCAATGTATTCTTTTTTACCTAAAAAGGTTTCTTTTCTCTGAAAAGGGGCTTTTCCTTTTCCCAATTGGCTGCAAGCCATTTCCTGTCAAAGGTGATGGATCTTCCTTTGTTCTTAGCCCAAAGAGAAAAGGAACCTCGTGTACAAAATGGCCTTAAAAGATTTGATTTTTAAGAATTTTCTCATTTCCCTTATCCCACCGAAAGAGACCCTGATACCCAAGTTCAGCTCTTGGAACTTGGTTTCTTACAACTTCACGATACGCCTATTTATTAAAAAAAACATATTTTTATTTCTCATACAGGTATTTATCTTCCCAGGAATGGTAAGTATTGTCTTCTACATAGCATAATCAGGCCAAGCAATTTTTCACACAAAACTTCAAAAATACTGTCATTCCTAGTCCATTGTGTCAGAAGCTGTACACCAAAGTGAGCTGTATAAGCAATCATATACAGATTATTTCAACTAAGGCTAATTGAGCTTAATGACCATATAAAATCTGTTCATTTGTATATATTGAACTGGTTGATATTTCTGGTTTGGCAGTACAGACTACATGGCTAATGATGGAGTGAGCATGGAAAGTGACCACTTTGGCACAGCACTTTTTTCGCAAAGTTGAGAAGTTATTGTTATACCTTTTCCCCCCTCCATCTTTAATGACAGAAGAATTAAAAATGTTTAGCTATACCCTATGTATTCAACACATTGCTACCATGAGTCCACATACAGACTACATACAAAATTTATGGTTCAATTTCCAAAATTCAGTCATCTTCAGCTAACTACTCACGATGTATGAACTTAACACATGATAAAATAATGTCATTTTCCCTTGGTCTTGACCCTCAAAAACATCCCATTAAAGTTTTTTACTCAGATATGGCTGAAACATCCACTTTCTCTCCTTGCTCGGATGTGTATGGTGCAGATGAGAACATGAAGAGAAAACAAAAAGTGTGGTGGAAAACAAGCTTGATCTGCTACAACAGTTCTTATGCTCCTTTACCTACACCTGACATCATGCGAGCCCCAAAAATTCCTCTCCTCAGTCAAAACCCAATCTGGATTAATACACCAGTCCATGATTAGAGCAATAAATATCAGCAATAAAAGAGTGATGAAAAAACTACTTGGGAGATAGAAATTGCGTGAAAAACCTCAGCTACAAACACTTAAATTACTGCAAGAAGTGTTTTAACTGGATTGCAATAAATGCTACCATCTAATTATTTTTTTGCACTCTGAACAGCAACACTAAAGCCCACGCTAAATTTCTGCTGTTGTAAGGTGGTCACTGCCTGTGACCTGTGCTGAACTGAGCAGCTCTTTTACCTTAGGCCACTCGTGAGAAGACACAGATTGGAGCGATTGCATTAGTTTTGACATTTCTTATGCTTTTTATGCACTACTGCCGGCTGCCAGCATTTAAAACAACAACTTATAAACAAACAAAAGCCCCAAGTCTGGTCAAGAAGCTGCAAGTTTTCCCTTTCCATTCTCCTGACTTGCAGCAGCGCTGCAAGAATCCCGCGGCCCCTGCAGGGCCGGAACGCCCGCAAGGACCGCGGGAATGCCCCCAGGGCGGCGGACCTGCCGGGAGGACGCGGCATGGCGGGACACGCCGCCTCCCCGCACACACACTACACTTCCCGTGAGGCCGCGGGCCGGCGCGCCGGCCGCGCCGTGCGTCAGTGCGCGGGCAGCCCCAATCGCGGCGGCGGCGGCTGCGAGCGCCGTCCGCCGCCAATGTTGTTTTTTCGCTGAGTCGAGGCGCGGTGTTGTTGGCGGCGGCGCCATATTGGAAGGGACGAGCCCCCGCTCTCGATCAGCCCTGGGCGCGGGGCCCGGCTGCCGCCATGCCTGTACCTGGAGGACTATCTGGAGAGTGAGTGTGTGCGCGGCGGGACGCCGGGCGGCCCGGGCACGGCAGTGTGCGGGGGAGCCGGGGGAGCCGCGGCGAGGAGGCGGCGCCTCCCCTCCCCCACGGCGGCGAGTGACTGACTGGCTCCCCCCCCCTCTCTCCCGCTCCCCGTGTCCCGCAGTGATCGAGGCAGCTTCCCATGATCTGCGCGACAGGTTCACCGAGATGCGCGAGATGGACCTGCAGGTGCAGAGTACGTGAGTCCCGCCCCCGCCGCCTCCGCCCGCCCCCTCCGCGCCCGCCCCGCTCCGCCCCGCGGGCTCCGGCCCCGCCGCCGCGCCCCGCCGCAGGGCGGGAGGAACGGGAAGGCGCGAGCGGGGAACGAAGGAGGCGAAGCGGTGCCGCTCCGGCCCGTGCCGGCGGAGCCACTCGCTCCCCCGCCGCCCCCCCGGCTGCCCCGGGGCGGTGTCGCCCCCTGCCCGCTCCTCGCCCCGGCTCTCCGGCCGCTCTGGCACGGCTGGCGTCCCCGGCTGTGCCGGGCGCTCTCGTTGTGTTCCCGCAGGAGGCGGCGCTGCGGAGCCGCCGGGGCGCTGCGAGGGGCGGGGCGCGCGCGCCCCGGCGCTGGTCGCGACAGACCCGGGCCCGCCCCGACCCACGCCCGCCGCCGGGCCTCGGCACAGGAAGGTCTCGCTGGAGCGGAGCTCCTGGGCTTGTGCTGCTCGCTAAGGGATTTTCGGTGGCACGTCCCAAACTCTTTAGATTTTTGATCCCTAAGAGCAGTGATGGTGGTTTGGAACATGAGTTGTGTCCCGCTCCTTCAGCAGGCAGCGGCGTGCTGTCCCTGAAACTTTCCAGCCAGCTCCCTTAAAATAGCACATGTGAAAGTGCTCTTTGTTCTGCCTCTCGTGCCCTAGCTGACACATAACCAAATATACTTTATAAGTATACTTCAGGTTTTATACAAGTTACATTTTAGATGAATATATATTTAATATAATTACATTTTTCGTATAAATATATATAATATAGTGTATATAAGTACATATATACATATAAAAACTATATTATTTATACTTCGGGTTTTCTACAAATATATTTTAGGTCTCTTTTAGATCACTTTATATCTCTGCTTATATCCTGATGTAATACACTGCTTTATGCTGTTTTCAGGATGCACTGGCCTTTCATCCTTTCTAATGCAGTCTCATCTGGGACTTAGATGTCCTTTAATATCTAATAAGCTGTTGTGGTCATTTAACAGACAGTTAATATGGTTATCTGTAACTGTGATCCAAAGGTCTTCGTTAATGAAGCTGTTATTGCACAAGAGATGTGAGGAATCATCCATATAGAAGGGTTAGGCTATTGTAAAGAGGAATGAGAGAAAGAGCAAAGTTTGAAATAACAAGGGAATGCTGTATAGGAATACACAATGCAGCACTAAGTGGGAACAGTTCTTGAAAACTGTAGTTTAACCTATAATATTTCAAAGTGCAGTCTTAGGCTTTTCCTTGGATATTTACTTTGGTAGACCCAGCAGGTCTGTTTAACAGACCCTGCTGACACACAGAAGTGGCTATAGGATTTTTTAGTATATTATGACCCAAGTGCTGTCTTGGGTTCAGTGCTTAAAGTTGTGGGAACAGTCATGGCTCATGGGAGAAAATCCCTCTAAAGTCACTATCACCAGAGAGCACCTGGAGAGGGGGTGAGCGGCTCACTGACTTAGGTAGTTTGGAATAAGTTCACAAGTTTTACTTTTGTTCCATAGAGAGGCAAAGAAGCTAGTAGGGTTTTTTTTAAGTGTGTTTCAGAATTGAGCCAGCTAGCATTGCCAAGGTTGCAGGAGTGTCATTTCCTCTTCTTTAACTGGAAATTACAAATAACACTCCATATTGTATTGCTGGAAATAGCAAATGACACTGAATACTGTATATTAGGACCAACCTTGGGCACACAGAAAAATTCTCTCAGACCTTGTTACTTCTGTTATTTTTACACAGTGAGTGACAGAGCATCCAAAGACATTTACAAAATTTCTGGAGTAGCATCTCTAACATTAGTTGCCAAACTGCCCGGAGGTTGTTCTCATGCTGTGATACAGTGACTTGCTGTGAAGATTCAGGGTCTTGAAAGTACTTGAAAACAGTAGTTTGATGAGTGATGCTGTCCCAGAAATCCACATGAGTTGTAATTCAGAGACACCTGTGCTGCTCTGTTTTAGAGTCAGTGTTGATTTTATGTTCTGTCCTGTTTAGACCACTTGGACTCCTAATGGGGCAGGTGCTGCTGTTGTTGGAAGAAATAACGAACCAGATGTACCTTCTGTATGTTCTGATAAGACTGCTGTGGGAAAAGCAAAGGTCATCGGAGTTGTGACTTGACTCTTGAGCTTTAACTGAGCTCTACATGAAGCATAAAATATGTTTCTCTGTTTAAGGTCAAGTCATGGATTATCAGGCCTTTATGGTAAAACATAAAACTCTGGAAAAAAGCCTCTCTTCTAATAGATTTCCTGGTAACTCCCCTGAGAAATCTGATGTAAGAAATTAGTATCTCAGAATATAGTATCACAGTTGGATTAAAAAGGTTGGGAGGAAGAAAAGGTGGATGAACTTGAGTGTACCAGAGAGAACTTTTCATATAATTTGGTAGATCTCACCTTCACTTCCCTTTGCCGTTTCTGCCCTTTTAGGAGAAACCAAATTTCTGTGGAAGTTTTCCCTTGTGCAGTTTCACACAGACTGATAACGTGTCCTCAATAAAAAGTGAAGAGGAAAGATTTTTTTTGTCATTTCTTGTCTATGGAGCTCTTAGAATAATTATCACCTAAGGTGTATGGGCGCTGGGATAGAAGGTAGAACACTTAGTTTGTTGGCTTTGTGGACCGAATTGTTGTCATTTGGTCAGAAGTCATTTTAGAAGCCTCCACATAAAGTGTGTGCTTCTTGATTGCTTTTCAGGCTTCTTAACTTTCTCCCTGGATAACATGGTGCAAGTGGAAAATGCTCATTGTACAGATTCTCCCATCTTTAGCCTGTGATACACCAAAACTGAATGCTTTGTTTGTCTGTGTCTAAACAAAGTTGATGTGAGCCTGTGTCACAACTGTTATGGCTTGGGATTAATGGTGAGAGTTGTTAGGTTCCTGTTGGGTTTTGTGCTGGATGTTCCCAGCATAGGGAAAATTGATGAATGTTTTTGATCATTTAGTATGAACGATTTTTGGTTATTTACATAAATAGTTTTAGCTGTGAATTTTCATAGGGTGAAAAGACCTTTGGCCTCTGTTGGGTTTTAAGAGTTAGTCATACTGTCATTCATGAGCTTCTTGAACTAGATAATTCACTTCCATTTTTTTTTTTTTTGGCAAGAGATGATGCCCATCATGTAATTCAGTTTTGATGGTGGTTTCTGGAAAGTTTTTTAGCTGTTTTACATCCAGAACCTGAAGTCTAGGTAGTTTGTGGGTTGTCACATTTAATTTGAAACTGCTGTCTGGGCAGCGTTGCTTAGAGTGCTGTGAAAAAAAATCAGTATTGTCATCTACCCTGACACTAGCAAGGCTGTCAAAGCAGGTTTGACTGAGGCAGCTGTACGTTTTTGGAAATATGCAAGCTGTTGTGTGCACAACTGTTGAAGTAGTAAACTCAGTGGGAGAAACATGAAGGGAAAGGGAAGGGAATCCCTGTTACTGTCTAGATAAACAACAAAAAAAACCCCTTGTAGTTAACATTTTCCTTTCTAGAGATAGTTAATGTTAGAAAATTGGTGGTTTTATTTTTTCCCCTTATGATATTTCTAAACTTCATGTAAGTGAGAATCCTGTCCAGATAGTATTTCATCAGTGATCTACCCCTGTGGGGATGGGGGAATAACTTGTGCTTTGCCCTTACCCTTCCTAGCATACAATGGAGAGGGCCTTGATTTAAAGGCAGTGACTTTACTCTTCAGTTGCTCTACCTTTTTGAGGCACTAATTTTTTTCAATTATTTGGTTTTGTATTTGACTGTTTCTCTTAGGAGAATATTTTGTTTCCTGCTCAGTTTGTAACTGGCTAGAATGTTCCAAAGTCAGCAATCTAGAGCCCTGGGTGAGGAGTTTGGGTCGTGCTTTAAGTCACTACCACTGCTCTTAGGGACAAAAAACCTTTAGAACTTGGAGTCCTGCCTGTCCCATGCTGGAGAGCACAAGAACCTTGATGAGAATCCTACCAGAATGCAATTCTGCTTCTTGGAAATGAAGGTAAATAATTCCCTCCGCTGTCCACTGTCGCTTGGTTGTTTTGGTTTTTTCTTTTTTTTCCTCTCTAATAGTTTGCACCTCAGTCCTGTCAACTTTGTTTGAGAAAAAAAATCTCCCATTATTTCCTAATGTTTATGTACATGAGAAGATAATATTTGTCTTAATCTTTTCCTATGCTACAGATGCAATGGATCAGCTTGAGCAGAGGGTAAATGAATTTTTTATGAACGCAAAGAAAAACAAACCTGAATGGAGAGAAGAACAAATGACATCAATCAAAAAAGTAAGGATATCACAGGAGTGGGTAAAATTTTTCTTTTGCAAATTAAGATAACCTTAGGAAAAAATAGCTTATGATAGATGGAGACTTAAGTGTTCAGAACTATGCCTTCCCTTGGGCTTTCATAGAGATGGATAGAACTACCTCGGAGGAGAAAAGTGACTGAAAGGTTTCTTTGATCAAACATTTCTCTCAAGCTTTACCCAGTATTTGCTAGCAATTTAAAAAATATGATCCTGAAATGGTGAGGAAACCAGGTACTAAATTTTCAGCTCAGATTTTTTGTTTCTCCTTGTGTGACACGAAGTTGTGTAAGTTAATTGGCTTTCTTTTAGAGGATAATTTTAAAGCTAGATTTAGCATTTCCTGTAATTCTGCCTCTGTCCTTTTAGATGTTATATATACGGTATATGTAGCTTGAGGGAGGGAGGAGTAAGAAGATGGATGTGTTCTATCTTTCAGTACTTGGGCATTGGTGATGGTATTTTTTGCAGTGTAGTCCATCATTTGGTTGGGAGAAAATCTTCTGTAGTTTCTTACACTGGCTACTTCAGCCTCTTATTTGGTTGTTTACTTCTTTAATTAATGCAAATAGATTTCTGTATTTTAAAAAAGAAAAAGTCAAAGCTCTAACTTTCCTAGAGTAAATGAAAATTTGCTTTTGGCTTTAGTTGAATCAAAATTTCAAGTAGGTTTCGTCTAAACAAGATACTATTCACTGGAAATTGAGAATTAAAAGGCAGTAAAATCTGTTTAAATCTAACGTAAAAACATGTGAAAACATATTTTTAAAAAAAATGTTTTGTCAGTGAATTTTCATTGGTTAGAGCAGATTTTTAAATTGGATTACTTCAGTCAAGTTACACTTATGAGTTATAGAAATTTATTTTAAAATAATTTAAGATATATACAACATTGTTTCTATTTAACTGCAGTGTTGGAAGGGCCTCCCTGCACAGTACTTTTCAGCATCTTTTTGAAGAGCAGTTGGATCTGCCGTGGTCCTAAAGATCTGTAGGAAGTAAAAGACATAATCTCATTTTGAGTCCATAACTTTATGCTGTGTAATATAAAATAAATCCAGGATTGTTTCTTTTCTTGTAACATTTCTTGCAGAAATATAAATATCACTGTAGGAGGAGGTGTCTCCATCCTGTAGTTTGCTTGTTCTAAGGCCCAGACAAGAAATTGGTATATATTATATCTCTCATTTAAAATTTAGCTGATTGTTGTTTACAGTAAAGTTTCACAGGCTTTCTCAAAACTGACTTGGATTTCTCCTTTTAGCTTATATTTTGTGTTGGATAACAATAGCTTAAAATTAATAGTGGAAATTAATTTATTTATGTTCATAATTTAAAAAAAATTCTCTTTAACAGGATTATTATAAGGCTTTGGAAGATGCAGATGAAAAAGTGCAACTGGCTAATCAAATATATGATCTGGTAAGTGGACACAAGACTTGTGGTGAATTACCTAAATTTATGCCCTAAGGAGTTCTAAGAATTTTGATAAGCGTTACAACTGTGCTACCTGTACTTCTGTGTGATCTACATACAGGTATTTTGCTGGTGAAAGAAACATTTAATATTTTATTGACTTTTAAGAATTTTGTTATTTTGGTAATAAGCGTCACTTAAATACAAAACAAAGAAATAAGATTAGAAATTGTAAGGTTTTAATGCGTAGCTATGGCCTGTTTAGGAAACTGGTTGAAAGAGTCCTTCAGGATGCAGTCTTTAGGGCAAAGGAGTCCAGGAAGTCTGGACATTGTTCAGTAAGGAAATCTTAAATATACGGGAGCAGGCTGTCCCCATGTGCCAAAAACGAAACCAGTGGGAAAGAATGCTTGCTGGGCTAAATAGAGAGCAATAGCTTTAACTCGGGGGGAAAGAAGAGAGTGTATCATCTTTGGAAGAAGGGGCAGGCAGCTTGGGAGAGTTACGAGGATATTGTGAGTATATGCAGGGAGAAAATTAGAAGGGCCAAAGCCCAAGTAGAACTTAAAACTGGTTACTGCTACAAAAGACAATAAAAAATATTTTATAAATATATCAGCAACATTTAGCAGAATATATCATTCATTTAGCAGAAGTTCCACATGATTGGAAATTAGCAAATGTAATGCACATCTACAAGTAGGGTCAGAAAAAGGATCCGGGAAAGTACAGGCCTGTCAGCCTGACTTCAGTGCTGGGGAAGGTCATGGAGCAGATTGTAAGGGTCTAATAAAGCTATCATGATCCCAACTATGGGGGCAAAAACTGGAATGATTTATTGAACATGCAAACGCTGTTTAAGGGTCTTGGGGGCTTAACATGCTAATGAGGAGGCAGGGTTATTCCAGACAGGGGTTTCCACAATCTATTAGCATTTCCAGTAACAGGGGTGACATAAGGGGAAAAATGGATTTACATTTTTCAGATCCAGTATTTACATTTGGGGGAAAAAGGATTTGATATTTCCAGTAAGCAAGATTATACTGGGGAAGGGTGGTCAGCTTTTCCTGAAATAAGGATTTACACAGGGAGGGAGAAAACAGTGAGATATCTGATAGCATCATGCAAAGTCTCTCTACTTCCTGCTGGGGGAGATCAGGACAATCCACATGAAGTGAATGTCAATGGATCTTGTCTGGTCTTTTCGATGATGGTTTTTTCCAGCCCCTGTGGCCCAAGGTTTCCTGTTTAATCCTAGCACTTCCTTTTCTGTTGGACTGCAACAGCAGATCATCTTGAGCGCCATCCCGCAGCACGAGCTGGACAGCCAGGGGGATCTAGTCCAGACAGTATGGGTTTAGGAAAGGCAGGTCCTGCTTGAATGACCTGATCTCCTCGTTTGACAAAGTGACCTGATTGGCAGATGAGGGAAAGGCTGTCTGCCTGGACTTTAATAAACCCTTTAACGCTGTTTCCTACAACATTCTTCTGGGGAAACTGGCTGCTCCTGGCTTGGACAGGTGCACTATTGGCTGGGTAAAAAACTGGCTGGAAGGCCGGGCCCAGAGAATAGTGGCATGTGGGTTTTGAAGTTTAAGTATATTTACTTTGCATTTTCTTAGACCCTGCAAGTCACACTGCACTCAAATGTAGTAAACATAAAACAACTACTTTATTTTCACAGCAGCACCAAAAGTTTGTTCCAGAAGTCAGCTCTTATATCCTCTCTTTCGGTTAGCTGGTAACTGAAAAACCTGTTCAGTTTTTAATAGAGACATATATTTTGCTGGATGGCTGCAGACATAGAAAGCATTTGCAACATAGTGTTTCTTTTCACGATAGTGAGTTCAGGGGGTTTTTTGTTAATTTTTAGTACCCAAGAGCACGTCATGATTTACTCAAATGCACAGGAATCTCTACACTTTTACTTAAGACTCATTTTCCCCAAAGCAGCCCAACCTCTTCTAAAGCCCATGTCATGAACTGTTCTTTTTCTTCTCCTTTGTATTGACATATCCACAGCACCTCCAAGTCCTCTTCATCTTTTTTCTCGAAAGAGACACTTATGACAGTGTGTTGGATCACTGCCTACGCTATTTTGGTGTTACCACCAGTATCTCTGCTGAGTGAGGGACATGGAGGTGACCAAGAAGATATGCTTCTGTGTGTTACTGTACATGCTTAATGGTGCATGGCATAAAATTGCTGGAAGGGAAATACTTAGCAAGTCTGAAATTAAGGATGTATATGTTGATGTTACAGAACTGGAGGCTATTTGTTGTTGGTTTGTTTAAAAAACAGGTGGACCGTCATTTGAGAAAATTGGACCAGGAACTCGCTAAATTTAAAATGGAACTTGAAGCAGATAATGCTGGAATCACAGAAATATTAGAGAGACGTAAGTATGCATGATTTTCTTTAAGAACTTGACACACTTTCTGTCAATTTGCAAAATTAAAATATCATACACTTGTTAGTGGCAGGCAGTATTCCCACTTGTTTTAAAACTGTTTTAACCCACTTTTCGTCAGTGATTCTCAAATTTTAGTTTCAACATCAATTTTTACCAGTGAAGTCAAAATACAACTGAGTAATTAAAATAACTTTTTCACACAACTGTTGCACTTGTGAATTGGTGACTGTATCTGACAGATGCAGAATTCTTTAAACCTGTTTTTAATGACTGGAGGTATTCAGAAAAGTACTTCAGTATAAGCCTGTCACCTACCCAGTTGCAAGTGTACTATTTCTTCCTTGAATTGATTGCCACCACACTGAGGAGGGTCTTTAGTTTATTTTAGTTCTAGGTGTGGAATACCAAATACAGTTAGATACTTATTTTTTTAAAGGGGTGAGAATGGGTTGTTTTGTAATGGTGCAGTGAGGGAAGAGCATTTTAGGTAAGAAACCTGCATGTTGAACAAATATAGCAATGCTGGTGTTAAGAATGTGAACAAAAATGTAATGTGACAACTCTTTTGACCAACTTGGTGTAGAAGAGTCTGGCCTTTCTGTACGCATCAGCATTTAAACACCAAGTTTGGATGTGATTATGATATATTTCTGAGTTCATTTAATTACTGTGACTATGGAGGCAGTGGTTGTCCTCATAACCAAACACAGTGAAAAGTAACTTAAATCACTTGAGGATATTGGGAATAAATATTCTTTCTTGGAACTTTTTGTGGCTTTGGCATATGAGTTGGGAATTTTGGGATATTTTATTTGTAATTGCTATTACAAATAACAGGCACAAAGAAAAAACTGTAAATTGAATGCTTTTAATGAACTAGCAACTACATAAAATGATTAGTTTATTTTAGTTGAAATCCCAGCTGTTTATCTTCTGTTGAGCTATGTGTTTGGAGAGGTTGCTAGGTAGCATTTCAAGAACTCAGAATAGAAAAGCACCAAACTGCATGTGGCATCTTTAAGGTTTGTTTGGATTTGGGTTTTCTTTGTTTGTTTAAATAAAGCTAAAAGTAGAAGCCTGTAAATTTTTTCACTTTCAGAATAAATGCATATATCTGAGGTTCCACCAGAGGGCAGCCTTTGGGCGAGTTGATGCTGTGGTTGAAGTTTGCTCAGCCAAAATAGCTCCTTATGCTTTGAACTTCTTCCAGAATAATTTTATTTAAGCTTTTGTAATACAGTTACGTATTACTCATATACTCATGTATTTCAGTGCTTTTTGAAAGCACTGAAAAAAGTAAAGAAATGTTGAAGCTACAGATACTGAAAAATGAATGTCACTTGCTTTCTTGAATAGTCTCCTATGTAGACATGAGTTAGTAGATATTGCAGCTACTTCAGATTTTTTTGCCAGAGATTGATGCACAAAGTGTTGTATATTGTGCTAATGGAAATTTATAGTCAAAAGTCTCTCCTATGCTGCAATTATTTAGCCTCATCCTATAAGAAATATTATTCCTAGATGTATACTTGCATTTGTGCCTCACCGACTTCATAGGTGGGTTTTTTCTTTGTATTAATTGCTCTTTTTATTTTAAGCATTAGGAAAATTTGGATAATGGTAGTGAAGCCCTTCCTGTTGAATCTTAAATCATCTGGAAATACATTGCTATTGCTTCCATTTTGACAAGATGGACTCAGTGGGACAAAATGTCTTGTTTACATAGTTGACCTGTTACATTTTTCAATTCATATTGGTGGAGATTGTCAGTAGTTTTGGTGCAGCCATCCTCCAATCATCACCAGCTTGTGTGCAACTCATTTGAATAAGTGGCATGTTGAGGGCAGTTTTGTTTGTTCTCCTTACTGACCTTGATTTTAACTTCTTGATTTCAATAGTTAAACACTAGCATTCACCAATTTTTAAAACTAATCTCACTGGCTCCTGGTTGTACTGTAGGAAGGGTTTCTACTATAGCAAAAATTCTTATGATTAAAATAAATATAACTGCATAGTGATTTGATTAATATTATAAAGATTCACTTAATATCTAAAAGTCAAAAGCATGGCAAGGACAACTCTGAAATTTTCCTAACCTTTTCACCCCTTCTTAGGATCTCTGGAGCTGGATACACCATCACAGCCTGTGAATAACCATCACGCCCATTCTCATACTCCAGTAGAGAGTAAGTATTTGAGACTTTAAAAAAATGGCCACTTTTTATGTTTCCTTTTTTTTTTTTTTTGAGTAGTGTTAGGAAAAAAATATTCTGAGGTTTTTTCCTTCCAGACATTTCAGGGGAAAATAAGGCATAATAAATGATAATAATGTCTGTTAAGAAGAAGTGCAAAAATGAAATAGTAAGTTTTTGCTAGTGGAAATTAGTTGAAAGTGCTGGTTTTTTAGTTTGACTTTCAAGCTGAATAGGTTTTACATTTAAGTTCCCTCCATTTGTTTCATTTAGAAAGGAAACACAATCCATCTTCTCACCACAGTACAACAGATCATGTTCCTGAAAAGAAGTTTAAATCTGAAGCTCTTCTATCTACCCTGACTTCAGATGCTTCTAAAGAAAACACACCAGGTAATCCTAATTGTCTTTCCTTTCATTAGTTTTAAATTAAAAGAAGAGAAACTTTTGAGTTAGTCTTTTGAAATCACAGAATGGGTACAGTTGGAAGGGACCCTAGTGGGTCATCTGGTTTAACCTACCTGCTCCAAATAGTGTTATCCCAGATCACATTGCACAGGATTGTGTCCAGACAGTTCAGAAATATCTCCAGTGAGGAAACTCTACAACCTCTCTGGGCAATCTGTTCCAGTGCTTGGACACCCACACAGTAAACAAGTGCATCCTTATACTCCAGTGGAACTTCCTGGGCATCAGTTTCTGCCTGTTGCCTCTTGTCGTATTGCTTGGCACCACCCAGAAGAACCTGGCTCCATCTTCTTGACACTCTTCCTTCAGATACTTATATACCTTGTTGAGGTCCCCTCTCAGTTGTCTCTTCTTGAGACTGAACAGGCCCAATTCTCTCAGCCTTTCCTCATAAGAGAGATTCTCCAGTCCCTTAATCATCTTCATAGCCCTCTGCTGGACCTGCTCCAGGAGCTCCTTGTCTCTTGTATTGAGGAGACCAGAACTGGGCACAGCACTCCCAATGTGGCCTCACCAGGGCTGAGCAGAGGGGCAGGATCACTTCCCTTGACCTGCTGGCAATGGTCTTCCTAAGAACCTTCCAGGTTCTTGGCCACAGGGGCACACTATTGGCTCATGGACAGCTTGTTGTCTGCCAGGACCCCCAGGTCCTTCTCCACGGAGCTGCTTTCCAGCAGGTTGACCCCAGCCCGTACTGGTGCAGGGGATTATTCCTCCCCAGGCACAGGACCCTGCACTTCCCTCTGTTGAATTTCAGAACGTTCTTCTCTGCTTCTCTCTCTCCAACCTGTCAAAGTCCTTTCAAAGGGCTGCACAGAACTCTAGGATATTGGCCACTCTGCCTGGCTTTGTGTCATCAGCGAACTTGCTAAAGAGGAATCTGCCTCCTCATCCAAGTCATGGATAAATAAGTTATACAGTACTGGGCCCAGTATTGAACCTTGGGGGACACCACTAATGATAGACCTCCAACTAGACCCTCGATAATGACCCTCTGGGATCTGCCATTCAACCAGTTTTCAATCAGAGGCTCATACCCTTTCCTCTGGGATTTTCAGTCACTTGAAACATGAGATACTGTAGGCATTGTTACTCATCTGTGTTGTCCATGAAGCAGGTCAGTTTTGTTGTCATTTAACAGCTGTCTGTTGGCTGTTCCTTTTTATTTACACTGCTTCAAAGAAAACAACAGTACAATTTCATTCTGCCAGTAGTAGAAATATAAGAGATCAATGCATTACTGCTTTGGGAAAAAGAAATGCATGGAACAATTTCCAAAGTAAGGGAAAAGAATTTTCATATCTCTTTTTTTTAAAGTGTTGGTCTGACGTGGCATTTGGCTACAATAAAATAAAATTCTTTCATGTACTGTATATGTCAAAAGATGCAAGAAGCCTGTTTGGTGAATAAAAAAACACCCACAACTTTCTGCCCTTTTTTAAAATTTAAGCATTTCTTAGTTTCTTTTCTGAAAATAAAAGATTATGAGAGGTTATAGTACGTAAAGTAACTACTGTATGTTTTGGAATTTAGCAGTGTTCATCAGTTTTAAGTAGTCTCCCTCATACCTATTTCACTTTTCTTTTGAAGGATCTTCACATGAAGTTGCAAATAAAATGTAACTATGAGCAACTGTCATTCTGTAGATGACCATGGAAATCTGTGTTGCATTAAAAGTGTGATTTGTAGTTTTTAGAATTAAGATCGGTAAAGTTTTACTTCAGAAACAGTATAGGTGTACAGTCAAATTCTTACTTTCTTGATGGTTAGTCAACATTGTTTCAGTATCAACAGATACAGCAGCTGCATCTTTTCTTTGATAGCTGAGTAGGATAGTGAGAGCTGTCTTTCTAAAAGGACTCCTTGCACATGAGCATAGAGAGGGAACAAACTTCTTTTTCTTTTCCCTTATACAAATACTGTCTATGTCAAATTACTTTTAAAACCTTTTTTCAAAATTATTAGACCGCTCTGATACGTTAACAGAGTTCCTACTCTTTCACTGGTTGTCATATATAACTCTTCTTAAAATGCAAAGGAATTTAGTTTCATTTTGAATTTCATAAATGTGTTCTATTCATCAAGGGTGTCGAAACAGTAATTCATCATCCTCTTCAAACAATGCATACAATACAAACTCTTCTCAACCATTGGCATCATATAACCTGGGCTCATTATCTTCAGGATCCGGGGCCGGTGCAATTACCATGGCAGCAGCTCAAGCAGTGCAAGCCACGGCACAGGTAATGTCAAAATGTTCTTGTCACTCTGCCATCTGCTATTGATTAAGAAGAAAGGCTAGTGACTTTATTTTTTTTTAAATCTGAATTCCCATGATCACTTTCAGCTTTTTTTTATATGCCACAGTTTCATCCTATATAAATTGCCTAAAGGGACAGCTTGTTTTCTGGCTTTTCCTGGGGGATATTCTTACACATTTTACTGCTTACTCTACATCACTTTGTTAACAAGGTAACTAATGAACCTGTGCAAATAATTAGCAGTTAGCAGTTGTCTTATGTAAGAGCTTTACTGTGCAATCTGATACAATACCAGTATTCCTTTTAGATGAAGGAGGGAAGACGAACATCCAGTCTAAAAGCCAGCTATGAAGCATTTAAAAACAATGATTTTCAGCTTGGAAGAGAATTTTCATTGTCCAGGGATTCAGCTGGATATTCGTCATCAGCTCTGGCATCTACGTTAACACAGACATTAAGTTCATCAACCACAGATTCACGAAGTGGCAGAAAAAGCAAGTAGGTTTTCTTACTTGTTGACTGCAATTATAGCTTTTAAGGCAGCTAAGCTTTCTCTTAAAAGTCATGGACTATAATAGAAATACTTTGTATTTAATATCTGTGAGGGAGGATCAGTAGAAGACAGTTATTGCCTACTGGACATTTTTTTTTCAGGGCTGTGTTCTTCAGTCCTCTCACTTCTTTTTATTTAAGCAAACACACTCAAAGTTTGTAAATTAATGTGTTGATTTGCTTTTTCATCTGTGATACAGTCAAGGTTCTTCCCTCATTTTTTTGTGTTCTGGAGAGATTTGACCTAACAGCAAATGTTGGGAATTACCATGCAACAGTTTGTAGATGGTTTTGAAATAATCTGCAGATTTGCTTCATGCCAGATCACAAATAAAAGCAACACTCTGATGACTGATCATCTAGGTCAGGAAATGGACTGAATTTTATTTCTGATTAAAATGAAGTTTTAAAACATTTTAACCAACAGTGCCACAACTTGAACTTGAAATAATTTGTCTCAAAATGCCCATCCTTTTAAACTGACACGAGTTTTTTCTTCATACAAATTTATGTGTGTTCACAGCTCAGTTAATAATACTGTTTTAGAAGGATTTTTAATCTATGCATAGATTTAGTGTCAGATCTCATCTATAAGCAAAAGCATAAAATTTTTATTCTGGCACCATTCCTATGGAGTGATTGGTGATGCTTGAGTGGAGGTTAACAGAGAATCAGTCATCTTCAAAACAGTTACCTGTTGTACATGACATATGACATTATTTATATGTAAATTCCTGTTTCATTTGTAATATAATTTTTATGGGGACTTGACACCAAGGCTGTTAATGGAAAATTTTGTGAAGAAAAGCATTCATTAAAACCATTTGACAGTTTAGAGCTGTGAAATTCCATTGATCAGAACAATGTATTTTGCACTTGTAAGCTGGTACGACTTGTTTCCTTTTCCAAAGAGCATTCAGTGGGTCCATTCCAGTGCTTGCAGTAGTTGAATGAAATCTGTTAGCAAATGATACTTAGGGATTTACATACTGCAGTATTTCAGAGTTAACAAAGTACTTGTTTAGTGATTCTTTCACTTGGCAGGAAATAAATTTAAATCATGTATGCCATGTTTTCCTTTTTGTTTTTCCTTTTCTCAGAAACAACAACAAATCCTCAAGTCAGCAGTCCTCGTCATCATCTTCTTCTTCCTCTCTATCATCATGTTCTTCTTCATCTGCACTAGCACAAGAACTGTCTCAGCAAACAGCAGTAATACCAGAGTCTGATTCTAATAGCCAGGTTGACTGGACCTATGATCCAAATGAGCCACGTTACTGCATTTGTAATCAGGTAAGGATAGCCTCCAGCCTGAAATACAACTAGAACTGCTGGTTCGATGTAATTGAACTTCCTTCTCTGGTTGCTAATTTTAAAACATTGTGGTTTTACCCTTGAAATTCTGATCTGTTTTTATTTACTTACTGGTGCTACAAATATTATCAACTCAAGCTAAAAGTGGTCAGTTTTCTAGTGATGTGACATACCTGGAGTGTTTAAAATCTGTTAGTGGAGACTTCAGAAATAATTAAATTAAAAATGGAAAGGGTTCACAGTGAATGTAGTTAAAATGTTAAGTTAGTAAGTTAAGTTGTTTTCTCCAACTTCCCCATAGAAAGCAAAAACCACCAAACAAACCAAACAAAAAAAAAACCACCAAACCCCAATATATCCCATAAACTTAAAAAAGCCCAAACAACCAAACAAAAACCTAATTTTAGATAAGCCATCCAGAGAATGAATGACAATATGAGAAACTTACTTAAAATGCCTGTTCTTATTTCAAACACTTTTAAGAGAGTTGACTTTTTTTAGAGTTTGTAGATTTCTGTAATTCTCTTTAAAATATTTGATTGCTTCAAATAAAGTGCTTGAAATTGTCATGTATGCAAGGGAAATGGCAGACATCAATATAATCTTGAGAACTAGGCTGATAACATACTGAGCACTCTTGTTTTCATCAAAATGTACTTCATTCAGGCTTTGAGTGCTGACCTTTTTTATCCAACCTGAAATGTGCAGATGCATCTTCTTTTGCACAAGCAGTCTTTGAAAATCAATTCACTATGAACGAGGTGGTGTTTGGATTGTGTAACAGAAGCTCCACACAGCCTCTTCACTTAAGAGTGAAGAGGATGCTTAAGAGAGATGACTCTCGTGAGTCCCTTCCAATATCCTTCCAGAATATTCTGTGATATCTGTGATACCTGTGAGAAGAAAAATCAAAATGTTGTTGCTGCTGTTAATGGACAGACTCCTTAAAGGAAAAAACTTGAATGTTAGCCCTTTGAAAATGTTAATTGCTTTTAGTTAATAATACAATTATTAAGAATGGAATTTTTTTTTTCTCACTAGGTGTCCTATGGTGAAATGGTAGGCTGTGATAACCAAGATGTAAGTAACAAAGTTCAAAGGGTTCATGAGAAGCTTGTGCATGTAATTGTTGTTTGCAGAAGTTACTTTTTTTTAGAGTTGGTTTTTGAATAGATTTTTTTAGAGTAAAGTGCATATGTTTTGAACCACCCTTCAGGAAACTTCTCATTTCTCCTCACAGTTCATGCTCTTTTAGAAACCTTCAGCCTTTACTGGGTTCAGAAAAGCCCTAGTTCAAAATGCCATTTATTTCTCTGAATGCTTAGCTGTGTTTAGCTAATAACAGTTGTCCTCTTCAAATAAAAAAAGTTTTAAAAGAGCAGTTGAATGTCATCATGTATTTACTGAGACTACATTTAAACAGAAATGCGTGATAAGATTACTTTTGTGTCACTTAGTATTGTCAAACTAAGTCTTTCAAAGCAAAACATAGTTATTTTGCTCTGTTATGTGAGTTCATATGAGTCCTAGAATTCTTATCACTCTCCTTAGTTTATTGAGTGTATGTTAGAGACTGAGATCTTCATCTCTTGTCATTTTTTCCTGTGATTTGTATGAAAAGCAGAATCTATGCTTTTTACTCATGTTTCATTTTCATAGAATTGTATTTGTGATAGGCACTGTGAAAAAAAACAAAAAACAAACAAATCCCAAACCATCTCTTTAACTCTCTTTTTATAGTGTCCTATTGAGTGGTTCCACTATGGATGTGTTGGACTGACAGAAGCACCAAAAGGGAAATGGTACTGTCCACAGTGTACAGCTGCAATGAAGAGAAGAGGCAGTAGACATAAATAAGCTTTTTCATCTGGAAAACAAATTGTGTACTAAAGGTTTTATAGAGGTCTTAGGAGCAGAGGGGGAACTCTCAGAACACCTCCTTGCAACCACTGAAGAGTTAACATGGCAGTCATAGAATGGTTGGGACTCAATGGAAAGGACCGTAAAGATCACCTAGTTCCAGCCCCCAGTCGTAAGATCATGAATATTGGTTTTGCTAGTTGTGTTTTAACATTCTAAGTAAATTATTTACGCACCTTGATGTGCTACAGATAATATTCCAGTGAGCCTTGGATTATTCCAGTGGCCAACATATGCAGAGATTTGTACTATCAAACCATTTTCTCTAAGCACTGGGCATTCTACAATTATTTAATCTTCAAAGAATTCCGATAAGTCAAGGTTTTAAATGTATGTTTTATATACAAGAGATATATTCTGCTGCATGTACTGTACTCAAGAGCTGTTACGTAACACTATGTATATAAATGGTGCAAAAAGTCAGTGCTTCTGAAAAGAAAAAAAGAGACAATGTTTTTAAAATGCCTTTATAGCTTTGGTTCTTTATGAAACTTAATTCAGCAGGCTGAAGAAAATGGTTCTTGTATACAGCGGGCTGTTGTCCTTTAGGGTACTCAAGTATGTAAAAACAAAAAAAAATGCTGTAGAATAAAACAAACTTGTGCCATTAGTCTTTATATGTTTCTGCTCCAGAGAAGGTGGGGGCCATAAGAGGAAAAAAAGGTGTTAAAGTGACAATAAATTTTTATACCAAATGTGTTTATTTTTTTGTGCAAGTAATCCTTTAAATTTGAATTGTATTAGGTGTAAAATAAAACAACCTCAACTCCTCAAATTAATGTTTTCTGTACATTTGTCAGAAAAAAAGTCTGTTTCCGAAATGGTTTCACTAACAAATTTCCTTTTATTGTTTTTCTGTGGCTGTTTCATGCAGCAGCACTGAACACAAACAGGGTTTTTACTTCTATTTTCTAATTCCTCCTTCTTTCTGCTGTTAAAAAAAGTACACTTTCCCTTTAGATTAAAGATTTTACTTCAGGCTGGAAGAGTGTGGCCTTCATGTAGTAGCTTTCCAGACCTGTGAAGAGGAGGAGAAGAGAGGGAGAGAAGCAGTGTTACATTGCATGACCATGCCAATACTGTCAAGGGAATAAAAACAGACAGGCGCATTAGTAATAGGAGTATGTGCAAAGAATGAAACCAGGATTCTGTCACAGCATTTTTTTTTTAATGAAAGAAATAGGCATTTAAAGTCTATGAACTGGGGAAAAGTAGATGTGTAAGAAGGGAAACGATTATGGATGATAAATAGACTTTGGTAAAAGAATAGGGTAGAAGTTGGGGAAAATAAGCATCAAGGAGCAGTTTAACTAAGGTTCCATTAAAACTGTGAACTGAACCCACTGTATATATTTCTGTGGAAATTGCAGTCTGAAAAAAAACACGTGAGGACTAGAATATCTGCTTTTCAGTGAGACTGTTGAAACAACGGAGATAATGAGTTGTTTCTTCTGTGGGAAACTAGTGCCATGCTATGATTTGAAATTAAATAAGCAACCACTAACGCAGACTTCCCTTAGACTGAGTGTCTTTATGGCTATGAAGTTAGTCCATTGAGAATTATGACCATATATAGCAAAATCTCTCACTCTGGTGGTAACCATACCTGGTGGTAACCACACCTAACAGAACACAAATCCAAATAAAAATTTCAGTTTTTAGTGTGAGCCTTGGATCACTGTTTCACTGGAGAATATAAATTATTTTTCATTGGCAAATGAGTTAGAGAAATCACAAGAGGAAAAATCTCACCTTAGTATTTTGTGTCAAAGTTAAGAAAATAGAAATGAACAAATATGAAAACGTGGAAAAATTTGCAATACCTGTACATGCTTATGTTTTTTTCTAAACAAGAGAAGCTTACAGGTCATTAGGTGATCAGAATGTAAAAGCACTGATTAGTATGAAATATTTACATATTAAGAATGTTCATGCCTCATGGTCAATAGAGTTGCTGGACATTTTCCTGAGTAGACGAGTGTTTAGGTGAGGTCTCTCATTAAAGCTTCTTTGAAAAACAGTGATGCACTGGTTGAAGAGTAGGACATTGGGCCATCCACATGGCTATTTGGAAAATAGGATAATAATAAAGGAGAAAATCATATACATAACAGATCAGTTAAAGAGGTCTAAACAGTAACAGAATGTTTGCAATTAGGTTGTATTCTCAAAAATAATAAAAATGGAAAGTGCTAAAAACAGCAGACAAATCTCATGATACTGAGAGTCTGATAAAGTAGATGTATTTCAATATTTTACTAAAATAACATAAATATAAAACAATATATAAAATAATACTGAGTTCTCACTTTACCTGCACCTTGGTCCTCTGAAGTAGCTATTGCTGTGTAGCAAAGTGATTTTGGAGTTACCTGGGTAATTTTATGGAAACCTCAGCTCACTGCTCAGCAGCAGGTCAGACAAGTGCTAAGAATGACTCAGTAGGTGATAAAGAATAAAACAGAAAACAGCTTTATGCTGTGTAAATTGATGGTGCACTTAGGTCTTAATGTAGTGTAAAATTCTGGTCTGCTCCATTACAAAAAGGCAGCAGAGCTAGGAAAAGGCTCAAATAGGAGGATCAAAGCAGCCAAAAGCTGTGTAATGACAACACAACTGAGAAGCAGATGAATTGTCTGGGACTCTTGTGGATGAGAAAGAGGCAGCTCAGTGAGGATGTAACAGGGATCTGTAAATTCAGAAGTGATGTGGAAAAGGTGTGCCTTTTGATAGAATAAGTAATCTGGAGGTAGCCAGTCCAAAGTAAAAAAATGAGCAGTATTTTTTAACACATGGCATGCTTACATTACAAAATGGGACATACAGCAAAGATACCTGCATCAGAAACTCACTGAAGGCTGATCACTGGAAGTCAAGAGAGTTTGTAACCAGGGAAGTGTTCCAGGCTGACTGGCAGTCCTGCAATCCTCATAGCCTCGTGGCATAGACCACTGAACGCTCTTTGATGCTAGACACGAGGTTAGGCAACTCTCTGGTATTATGCAGTGCAGCTGCTTTCAGTTTCATCTCAATGCTTCAGGATTTGGGTGGACTTTTAGGATGAGGAGGTATTTGTAGTATCACAAACTGAGAGCCAATGTGCTAAGAGCTGTAATAGAACAAAACATGGTCTATGCCTTGTAAACGGTATTGTGTGTTTGGACTGGGGAGATGTAGGTTTTATTTATTCTAGATCTGAAATTAAAAAGAAAGAAGAAATACTTTTATGCTTCCTGATCTGAAAATCCCACTAGGTTGTCCCTCTGAATAGCACAGGATAATTTGCATTCTTGTCTTCTTCACCGAATTTTGCAAAATGTTGTTTAACTGTACATGGTAAAGATCAGAAAATCTGAGGTTTGTTTCCCTTTTCTGTTCCCCCTCACCAGGGAGGTACTTTCCACTACAAGCTGGCTTTTCTTGGCAAGTTTTTTCATCTCCCTTCTCATCCTGCTGGAATGTCAGGACCATACACTTTTTTTCTTCAACAGAGGTGACCTTCGGCTTGGCAACAGAGAGTTCAGTATTGCACTTAGACTAAAAATCTCCAAGAAGCAGAATTGCAAGAGGAATAAGGGTCTGAGTTTTTACACTCTCCTCAGGGTACACATGAATAAAATTAGGCCCCACTGTATGAACACAGTCTCTGAAGTTTTACTACTCCTCCCAGGATTGACTAAAAAGCTCTGAGAATAATGTAACTAAAACAAGAAAAATACCACACTTCAGTGTACTTACACCAATTTGCAGTAAAATTCCTCTTAGCGCTTTCAAATCCATATCTTGTTTTTATACTTATATAATATTCTATAAAGATGAACAGCAGCTTTTTCCTTGTATTTCATAACTATTTGAGCATACAAAAGTTGTCAGCAAGTTGCATGATTACTTACAAGCTTGTGCTTGCATACATCTTATATTTTAGAAAAACCTGCATTAGTTCATAATAGATTTAAAGTCTTTATTATAGAATCATAGAATGTTAAGGGGCTGGAAGGGACCTCGAAGATTATCTAGTACCAACTCCCCTGCCATGGGCAGGGACATGTCCCACTAGACCAGGTTGCTCAAGGCCTTTTCTGGACTGGGGCATCCACAAACTCCCTGGGCAACCTGTTCCAGTGCTCCACCACCCTCACATAGAGAGTTTCTTCCTAATATCTAATCTAAATTTCCTCTCTTTCAGTTTGTACCCATTACTCCTGTCACTACAGTTCCTGATGAAGAGTCCCTCTCTGGCTTCCCTGTAGGCCCCCTTCAGATAGTGGAAGGTCGCTATGAGGTCTCCACACAACCTTCTCTCCAGGCTGAACAGTCCCAGCTTTCTCAGCCTGTCTTCATAGGGGAGTGCTCCAGTCCTCTTAACAACTCTGTGGCCCTCTGGATTTGCTCCAACAGTTCCATGTCCTTATGTTGGGGGACCAGAACTGTACGCAGTACTACCGGTGGGGTCTCAACAGCAGAGCAGAGGGGAAGACACACTGACACATTGAGTAAATGACTTTTAACTGTTTGATAACTGTATTCCCTTTTTATAGGAATAGGAATAATTCCCTTATTCCTAGCTACTACTCTACAGCTAGAGTAGAGAAATACTTGCCTCATGACTCTACAAGAAAGTGATGAACAGTGTTAGGATCCACAAGCCCTAATACCTATTTGTACCTTGTACCTTATATTATGCAAATTTCTTAGTATTATGACAGCTCTGTTCCTTTCTAAATATTTATTCAGCAATGCCGTTGCTCAGCTACAATTTATATATTTTTCTCAAAAATATCAAGATTTTGAGGAATCTTAAGTATACTTTTGTTGCTGAGCACAGATTTATTTATTAGGTTGACAGCTAACTTTGTTTTCCTAGTTAAGGCTGTATTAAGCCTTTCTGTCTAGAAGAATAAATAATAGTTATAATGTATTTGCACACATGAGGATTAGTAGAACAGAAATAGCAGAGCAATGTGAAGATAATTTTATATTGCTTCTGCCTGCAAAGTTGTGGCCTTACAATTTCAAAGCAAGATCCATGATTTATTTTCAGAAAAAGACATGTGGGATAGATGTTTGGATAAACTTTCCAAGCGTGAGTGTAGTTAAGCGCTGGAAGGGGTCAGTCAGTGAAGTACTATGGAATTAGGGAATCCTTTCTTGTCAGATATGCAGGAATATTTTTCCCTGTGTTGACAAAGAAAATTTTCTTTACAGCTCGATTTTGGTGAGATTAAAAGTACATTGTAACGGGGGGGGGAGGGGCAGGAGGGGTTGTGGTGGTGTAAAAATAAGTGCTTTTCATATTTAAAAATTGTTTTAATAAATGTTCAGTTATGTAGTTTAACTGAAAAGATGACAACCTGGAGTGTTTCTTCTGTGACAAATTCATTTGAATATTGTATTCTTGACTTAAATTATTTAAAAATGTGTTTAATCTCTCTGTCATGTTATTTGGGGCTAAATTAATCTCAGACTTTTAAAGTAAGCACATTCTATAGATGGATGGATCAGTCAGTAGTTGAATGAACTGACGATAAAAATGTGTTCCTTAGGCAGGTCTGGAAAATGAAACAGTTCTACAGTCAGTAGTATTGACCAACTCCTTAATTTAAGAAGGTATCCCATACATTTTAAAATTAGCCTCAAAAAATTAAAATTATGTGCTAATCATTTTAATCTAGAGCAAAAATTTTCTTAAACACTGACTTTAAACATGCTTTTGCAGACAGAAGTGCTGATTTCAGAAGTGCTGATTACCTTTGAGAGCTTCATTTACATCAGAAC